TTTACCTTCTTTGACTATGTAATAATGTCACCACAGGTGACGTCATATTTTAAACAAACATAATCAGGCGACGTCATAGTTTAAACAAACATTAACAGGTGACGTCATAGTTTAAACAAACATAAAGAGGTGACGTCGTATTTTAAACAAAAATAATCAGGCGACGTCATAGTTTAAACAAATATAAACAGGTGACGTCATAGTTTAAACAAACATAAACAGGTGACATCATATTTTAAACAAACATAAACATGTGGCTTTATATTTTAAACAAACATAAACAGGTGAAGTCATAGTTTAAACAAACATAAACAGGTGACGTCATATTTTAAACAAACATAAACATGTGACTTCATATTTTAAACAAACATAAACATGTGACTTCATATTTTAAACAAACATAAACAGATCAAGTCAGATGAAGTCATTTTTTAAACAAACTTAAACAGGTGACGTCTTATTTTTCAAACAAACATCAACAGGTGACGTCATATTTTAAACAAACATAAACAGGTGACGTCAAATTTTAAACAAACATAAAACACCCGATTCTAACAGCAGGAGCCTGTGGACAGATACACTTCTATTATATACAAATATTTGTCATAAAGATATAAAAATATATTGATAAACGAATCAGCAAATTGTTTTAATAGCTTGTATAGTACTCAAGTTAGTTATTTTGATATGAAGAGATATGCTATTTGTGAATATGAGAATATGCTATTTCGGTTATGCTGTGTAATTTTGTATTCAATTATCTCATAAATCTGTTAGATAGACTGGCCATTTAATCTTTTATTTGACATGCTAAAAATGTTGTGATATAACTGAATGTATGACACTATAATAAACTAATAAATATATAATCAAGCCCAACAGACATCTTATGTGACTATTTCCAATGTTCCACCGACCTGTTCCCATTGCATCACCATATTTGTTTTCAAGAGTCCTACATGGATTTACCTCACGAGAATAAAGAGTCCTACATTGATTTACCTCACGAGAATAAAGAGTCCTACAGGGATTTACCTCACGAGAATAAAGAGTCCTACATGTACTTACCTTACAAGAAAAAAAAGTCCTACATGCTGACTCTTTATTTTTATATATTTTGTAGTTACCGAGAATAAGGATCCCTATACATGTTGGTGTACATACAGACCTCTGTTTTGGTGTACATCCAGACCTCTGATTTGGTGTAAATACAGACCTCTGTTTTGGTGTAAATACAGACCTCTGTTTTGGTGTACATCCAGACCTGTTTTGGTGTAAATACAGACCTCTGTTTTGGTGTACATCCAGACCTGTTTTGGTGTAAATACAGACCTCTGTTTTGGTGTACATCCAGACCTGTTTTGGTGTAAATACAGACCTCTGTTTTGGTGTACATCCAGACCTGTTTTGGTGTAAATACAGACCTCTGTTTTGGTGTACATCCAGACCTGTTTTGGTGTAAATACAGACCTCTGTTTTGGTGTACATCCAGACCTGTTTTGGTGTAAATACAGACCTCTGTTTTGGTGTACATCCAGACCTGTTTTGGTGTAAATACAGACCTGTGTTTTGGTGTACATCCAGACCTGTTTTGGTGTAAATACAGACCTCTGTTTTGGTGTACATCCAGACCTCTGATTTGGTGTAAATACAGACCTCTGTTTTGGTGTACATACAGACCTCTGTTTTGGTGTACATACAGACCTCTGTTTTGTCGTACATACAGACCTCTGTTTTGGTGTACATACAGACCCTTTTTTGGTGTAGATACAGACCTCTGTTTTGGTGTACATCCAGACCTGATTTGGTGTAAATACAGACCTCTGTTTTGGTGTACATACAGACCTCTGTTTTGGTGTACATACAGACCTCTGTTTTGTCGTACATACAGACCTCTGTTTTGGTGTACATACAGACCCTTTTTTGGTGTAGATACAGACCTCTGTTTTGGTGTACATCCAGACCTGTTTTGGTGTACATACAGACCTCTGTTTTGGTGTACATACAGACCCTGTTTTGGTGTAGATACAGACCTCTGTTTGGGTGTACATCCAGACCTGTTTTGGTGTACATACAGACCTCTGTTTTGGTGTACATACAGACCTCTGTTTTGGTGTAATACAGACCCCTGTTTTGGTGTAGATACAGACCTCTGCTTTGGTGTACATACAGACATCTGTGTTGGTGTGCATACAGACCTTTGTTTTGGTGTTCATACAGACCTCTGTTCTGTTGTACATACAGACCTCTGTTTTGGTGTACATACAGACCTCTGTGTTGGTGTACATACAGACCTTTGTTTTGGTGTACATACAGACCTTTGTTTTGGTGTACATACAGACCTCTGATTTGGTGTACATTAAGACCGGTGTTCAGAAGATCATACAGACCTTTGTTTTGGTGTACATACAGACCTTTGTTTTGGTGTCCATACAGACCTCTGTTCTGTTGTACATACAGACCTTTGTTTTGGTATTTATGTATTGTTATTGGACCTATCAGTAAAAGTTGATTAGTCATCTATGCCATACTTGACGTGTACAGGGCGAGGTGTATACTTGGATACAAACCCATTATACCTGTCTGTTACATGTTGCTGTATTGATACCATCCTATCTCACATTGATAATCTGTAATAGGGCATTCAAGGATCGTTTTAAAATCAAACGTGTTCCAGTAAGTGTCGGATAGCAATGCTCCAATACACCCGTGGTATGGTGGCCCGTATGTGCAGTACAATTACATATCTACATTTACGTACAATCCACTGTATACAACTAACAATAATAATTCGAGGTTCTTATATACCGCTTTATCACAACCTAGTTCCCAGGTCGTCTCAAAAGCATTCTACAATTCTCATTTACAGCTGAGTAGACTGGAACAAGCGGAATAAATTATCTTGCTCAAAGATACAACGCAGTGCCGTGCCGTGCCGTGACTCGAACCCGCAACCCTTTGGTCACGAGCCCGGCGTCCTACCACTATAGACTACCGTGCCTCCTATAAACAATACAAACGGAGGTAGGCTTTAAATCGACAACTATGAATGGAAATCTACACCAATGTATATATTCGAAACAAATTAGTTTTGTACTTGATGATTATAGTATTCTTTTACAATGTCGCTTTTCTCCAAGTGCTTTGGCTAGGAGTCGAACCCAGGACGGCAGCTAACTATCGCAGTGATCCATCTAGCAGCGTCATTAACACGTGACAAGGTGGATAACCGCTGGGGACACTCATGTTTGTGTGTGTGTGTGTGGTATTTTGGGGTGGGGGTGGGGGTTGATGCATATTTCTATTTCTGATAATAGATAAACATAATTCAAAGGGCTACGTACGTAAGTATGTGATGTTTTTCACATGGTTCATATTTTCAAGTTTCACTGGTCCTTTGATTGGCAGTTCATAAACCTTAATTCTTTATATCATAGTGATAATATTTTTTATGGACAAATCAAGTAAATCAACACGTTATCCTGAAACTAACTTTTACATTTATTCACGTTTCGCTAAAAGTGTAATATTGTATCCCGTCCATATAACAGCATATATGATTGGATAAGAGTGATCACCTGACGGGGAAATAAAACAGTGTCGATTTCACGCGCTCGAGTTACCGGGTCATTTTGCCCTTATCCGTAGCCTCTCTAGAAAATATCTATTTATTTTGTATAGAGACATGATTATTTCTTTTTCAAATGCCTTGTGATACACGATTAATCTAAGAGAAACAAAGAATCGTGTTTCCAAACAGCAAGGTTGATACATATATATCTACATACATTTGATGTAATTTACCAAACCTTGAATGTCCGACTCGGTTTATGAATCTTAAAAGGTTTAAGTTAGTTCTCTGTAATCAGTAGTTTACAGAAACATATCATGTTTGTAGCACGTTTAGTATAGATATAATAGACTAGTAAGACATGACCCTCTCACCTAAATTCTCCTTCGCCCAGACATTTGTCAGTCAGCATTCAGTAATATTCAGTTGGTATTGAATCAGGCCACCTGATGGAAATTCGTTTCTTGTTTCGTTTCTATTATTTTGTAGGAATCCACGATGTCTTTCGTTTTGTTTTGGTGTCTGCAAGCTTCCTGTTGCTGTGTTTTGTATTGCCTTTTTGTGTTGATATGGTGATATTATTTTATGTCTACCTTTAGTTTGGTTATTTATCTATTTATGTTGACCTTTTGAAACGTTTAAAGGAGGCACGGTAGTCCAGTGGTGGGACGCCCGGCTCGTGACAGAAGGGTTTCGGGTTCGAGCTACGGCACAGCACTGTGTTGTATCATTGAGCAAGATACTTTACTCCACTTGTTCCAGTCTACTCATCTGTAAATGAGTACGTGGTTGGGCAGTGCTAGAATTGTTGAATGCTAACTGTGAGCGCCGAAATGGCAGCAACGGCTTTATGCTCCCCAGGGAGTTGAGAAAGATATTGGCTGGTTGCAAATGCCCTATAACCAAGGATAATAATTTGTGAACCGCTTTGAGACGACCTACGAACTAGGTTGTGATAAAGCGGTATATAAGAACCTCAAATTATTATTATTAAAAAAAGTATTTAAAAATATAAGAAGTAAAACACAATAATTAAGTATTTTCTTGAACTTAAACATTCCAAATCAAATTGATGAATTACATTAGAGACACCAGACGTTTATATTAGATTCTCAATCAATATTGTCAAATGATCTCTCTTACAACAATTGCGATAATTGAAATATGTATTGTCAAATTTAAATCAAAATACAAATAATCCCTTATTTTAATACTTAAAGACACATATGTAGAAGTACCGTTCATATGATGTCTATATGCTGCTATTTTTTGTAAAGAGAGAGCTTATAGAAGCTATGCCTGTTGCACAATTCCTGGTGTACATTCTGAAATGAAAGGAAATTTAAGATGACATTCATAGCGTCCTTGTATGTAGCGAGGTGGAGCACCCCCGTCTCACCGTACATTTAACATGGATCGGGAGTTAAACTGTTGTGCGGTACCTTAGACTGTATACACGTCTAACAGAGCAGACGACAGTATTACTCTGATACACACGTCGCCTTTAATACACCTCCGCCAACAGTGTATTGAGTGTATACATACAGTAAACAGTGAGTGGAGTAACACACAGCTCAGGATTTTATCATTTTATTGCTGAAGTGTTGTCCGACGTGGGTACAAGAAACGATCCATCAAATTCAATTAATGGATTTTAATCAATTCAATATCGGATGCTAATCACACGAGGAACATATCAGGTAAGTTAATATATAAAATATGATATTCAATTCGATAATTCTTATGATTGATTGTTACTAATAGTTTATAATTAGGAAAATGTTATAATATCATTATGTACTATTTAATTTTTAGTTGATGCGTCCTTATACAGATGCCAGTTGAACATTAAAAGCGTAATATTCATCCAGCCCAGATTAAGAATTTATAATAGTGTGTTTCAATGAAAAGCGTTTAGTCGAAAACAACACGACTGTGAACATTATAGAACACTTATAAACTGTACAATTATCAATAAAAATAATATTAAGGACTAATATTTGATACTTATATCAAGGTAGATATTTTTTATAATGTGGTGTTTAACCTTTAATAGCGGGGGATATACTCTTGTTATTATACACACATTATAACGAAATCAATAATCTTTATAGTGAGGTATATACTTTATAACGAGGTAGATATTCTTTATAATGTGGCGTATACTCTTTACAGCGGGGTATATCACCCTTATATCACATTATACAGCAATTGTGACGAGGCGAATAACTTTTATAACGAGGTACATACTTTATAACATGGTATGTATCTTCAATAACGATGCATATAACATTTACAACTCGGTGGTATATCATTATAATGTGGTATATACCTTTATAACATGTTATACATCGTTATGACCAGGTTTATACTTTTAAAACGAGGCATGCATCCTTAAGACTAGTGTATGGATCCTATATAACCATAGGAATGCTGTATAAATCCCTTATAACTTGACAAATATCATTCATAACGGGTTATATACCTCTACCAATATATAACGATCCCGAATATGTGGCATATAACCGATACAGCTTGACAAATATCATTGTTACGGGTTACACACCTCCATAACAATATAAATATCCTCGGAAGGTCGCATATGACTAGTATAACCGGGCAATTACTTTTATAGCGTTAAAACATAATGATAACATGATGCAAACATTTGAAAAGCCTAAAAATATTCTGACCTTTGTTCCGAAAAATATGACCTAGATTTCTACGTTTTAAAATGATAGTGCATAAACAGATCACCTTATCTGAACATCGTTGTAATTTGGTGTCGAGGTATAGTTGTTAGGTGCTGCATACTTTACATAATCACGAACATAAATAAAGCCTTGGGAACTAGCGACATGTAAGGACATTCAGACGGACGCATATAATGCATATCTTGCATCGACGAGTTGTGCGTCAGAGATTTGTTTATATAAGATGATCCGGAGATATGCTCATTCACGACCTTGACATGAAGGACGTTTAGGCAGATACACTTACGCATCTCGTAAATAAAAAGAAAAGGAAGTGTCCTAACCATGTGGCATATTTACCATCTAGAGACAGACACAGCACTCCATAGCTATACATGTTCGGTATATACATTTCCTTACTAAACACATGCTGTGGACGTCGTTGTATGATACTGTAATATGCTAGCAATTACCAAAACCTTACAATTACAAAGTAATCACTAGAAATAGGAAGAAATTCTTTTAAAAATTGGTCAAGCTTTATGCAGAAGGTCAAACGTGTCAACCATGGCAGAATAAACCAAGCTACAATATTACGATAAACAACGACAATAAATTGCTACAAGGTTCCATCAGTAGAGTCAACCAGTTGGTGACGGAAAATGACTAGAAACACACTTAATGTTCACACTGATTGTAGATCCTTTCGTCAAATCGGTATCATTAAGCATAGGAATTTGGTTGTGTGTTCGTATAAAACAATGGCGTATTTAAACCGATTGTGGTATAGGAGCTTCTGTTTGCACATCTTTGTCCTAATTTGATGATGTTGAGATGTACTTGTTAGTTCAGATCTGATCATGTTTCAGGGTAAGTGTCTGTCCAATTTGTATGATGATTCGGGGTAAGTGTTTGTGCAGATTCGACAATATTTANGGGGGGGGTACGTGTTTGTTAAGATTCGCTAATGTTTAGAGGGTAAGTGGCCGTCCAAATTTAATAGTGATTATAGGGCTGTGTAGATATTTCCTGATAATGTTTGGGGATAAATGTTGGGTCCTGATAATGTTGTGGTTCGGATTTTTTCATAAGATTTTTGGGAGGTCGAGTGACGTCAACAGAAACTCATCAGTGAGTAACAGACTTTCTGTCGCTTTGAATTCACATTACATTCCAAATCGTGGCCAACACTTTTTATTCTTTTATCTGTTTCTATCATCTCACCTTAACACTATCATGCATTACTTCAATGTATGACGCCATAGAATGATCAGTATAACACCGAGTGAGTGACTGGGATCACACTCACTGTGTTTATTTGTATTTATCTGCGATATTAACTTAGATTAACTTAGATTATTCTAAACGCATATACATTTGCCCTTATATTCAGATCACAGTCCTTCAAATAATAATTATATACATGTAATATAGTGTATGTGACATCACTCGGGTGTTATTGTAAACATCCTGTCGCCAGTGTCCCAAAACTTATCAAGGCGATTTTTAAATGTTATAATATTCGGTGCTTGGACCACGTTCTCGGGTAAGGAGTTCCAGCTGCTGACTACACGCTGAGTAAACGAGTATTTACGAACGTCTAATCTACTTCTTGATTTGTCCATGCAGAATGAATGCGCTCGAGTTCTTTTGTCTTGTTTAATTAATAGAAGCCCGTTGATCCTGCTGTATCATATATGCCTGACAATATTTTAGATACTTCGATCATGTAAGCTGGCTCACTTCGTAACTCGTGTGGTCCAGGAAAATGTTACAGTGTTCTAAATGCTTTCGAGAAATATGATTTGTTAGATACTTAATAAATACTCATAAACTTTGATATATGCGAATATTCGCGGGTGTCTCGGTAAGACTTTAACAATGAGTATTACCACAGTATAATATAATTAACGTATTAGTACATTATTTTCTTATTTTAGTCACGATCATTGCGTTACTTACACATTCTGCACTTTCCTCTTATTCCATAGAGGGAAGCACACATAGTTTCTGTTGTGCTGTTACTTACAACTACGATCAAAGTCAAGAAAAATAAATTGAAAAAAAAGTACCAAAAAACATTCACGACTACTTATTGCCATGTAAACCACAGTATTGTAAACGATGTATACGACATAGTTAAAATATGACACCCGTAATCATCACCTTAGATAAAGGTTAAAGTGAACATGCATCATATTTTTGTATGTGACCAATATCAAGATTGCCATCATGATCCTTCACCATTTAGTATAAGGTAGAAATGTAATCGAAAGAGGCGTAACATAACATAGGACACTGCTCCTGTTACATCATTCTAAGGTCTTCTTAAATATCACACCCACTTAAGAAATTTAGTTCAACATTGGGTTTCTTTATTTATCAGGTTTTATCGAGCTTGATCAAGTCAATATGACGACGCATATGGACACAGACATCTTTTAATAATACGATCGATCCGGTAAAGATAGGCTGTATAGGAATGCTGGCGTTACTTACCACATCCACTAAAACCATTTATCCCCGTACAAAATGCACTTGTTTGAAGTTTTATGAGAAAAAGGAACACTATCTAATTTAAGGTTTACTAGTAGACAGACGAACCGATGGTGTCTAAATACAATGTAATATGATCACGAGAATCTCCCATTTAGTATAGTATTTAGTATTTAAAGAGCATCTCACATTCATTTCCATTTGACATCGAAGAAACTTTACTTTAGGAATTCTTGATTCCAGAATCCTTTTTCAACATGGGATACGGCTTAGATACAATTAAAACACAATCGAAGTTGTTAGTTTTACTGTTTATATTTACATACAATCCATATCGGTTGATACATTTCCATACATTTTGAAATTGATATAAACTTACATGCATTTCCGTAGCGCAATTCTACATAAATATATATGTATATATGCACAGTAATTACCATATGTCCACCAACAATGATTTGAAACGCCTAACAAAAGAGTGTTGTGTTTCAGGTCACATATGTATCCCCCTTTCGTGTATAGCTATGTATGACCTTGTACGAAGATGTGCAGACAGACCAAAAGTATGAAGAGTTTTGTCGAGGTCCTGCATACCCAGGCTAACGAACAGCAGACTATTGCACTCTTTAGAAATTTTATTTCCATAGGGACACATATTTCCACTGCTGTTTCAGATTACGAGTTTTCATTCGTTTTTGTTCGTTTATTGTTTCGCTCTCCTTATGGTTTCTTTTTATATAACGATTTTCTGTTTTGTATACCAGTCATTGTAATTACAACCGTATTATCAACTGCAGCTCCAGTTGGTTGGTGCGATCGATATTTTTTCCGCTAGTTTGGGCTATTACAGTACATCACGGACGCAGACTACATTTGTAACTATCGGGACGTGCTGAGGCAAGCTCTAATAATATATAATCGTTTTTGCATGCCCTGTAAACTGTTATATAATCCACTTCCTCATAACTTTTTCATGAACAGTCGCCACCTTAGACGGTCGGGAGACGCTTTCTCTGGGATTCAGTTGTGCCGGGCATTGTTAGCGTAACTAATTATTACAAACAACTTCTTCAAATTGCTTTTCCCAAAACTGCAAAATAGTATATTCTATTTCTTGTCTTTAAGTAGTTTAAATCCAAGAAACTTGTATGTTTTGTTTCCTTTTTTTCTAATATTTGATGATGAGTTGTAGGTTCGTGGGCTGTTTTATCGTGTTAGTAAGATAATGAAGATTAAAAGAACAATAACACGTGCAGCACTACATTAATACTATCACGGTGACCAAGATATGATACCGAGGTGGATAATCACACAAACAGGAATATACTGGTATATACAACATTATGTAATATGAGTAATAGGTTAATATCGACTTACACGGGGTGAAAAATGTGTCGCATAGACAGTACAAGGTCCGAACTCAAAAGTCAATGTGAAACAAAATACAAACATAAAACAAGAGCAAGTACTGACACTGAGGAGAACCAAACAAAGAGAGGTATAATACCCCC